ATAATACTCGCTAGGAGCTTCGTTAGTTAGGCCGGACGTCGAAACTTGACAAACGTTTCAATCGGTAGGGATAAAGGTATCAAATGGACATATCGAACACTGGGACACGACGGAACGGTCACCATGCGAGACTCTGAAAATCAAGACAACCGGAAGCACGACAATTAAACCAATCGTGGTCCTTGGTGGTTCGTTAAACTAGTAGACAAGGGACGCAGACAGCAAGGCGCGCAAATGCCAGTGATCCGCTCTCTGATTGGTTCATCTTTCACCCAATGACAGCAGAGCGCCGGGGAGCGCGTTTCTTTCCGAACCAAGCGGTTGAATCCCCGCAATTGAATCCTCGGCGAGTAGATCGCGGACGCTTTTTTATTCTTAAATCAAAGGGTGTTAAATGAAAAAAAAATGTGTCGGTCAGGATTACTTATATGGCCTCCATAAATTGGACATGAGAATATGAACCCTTCTACCTCTCCGTTATAAAGATGACCTTGCAATAAATTGCAGGAGGGGTAAATATTCCCGCGTCTCAACCCTAACATTGGCCCTCATCCAAACATTGACCGTACTCGTACTATCAACACTAATCCTTCTTTCAACGTTAACTTTGCTTTTGTCCTAACCCTTATGTTCATCCTAATTCTAAGTGCCTCGAAATTTAGCGCAAATCCACATACATTCCGGATGGATCCTGTTTGCACGTTCCGCCACAGGAACCATCTAAGTAATATCTAACGAGTGTCGAATTCAACCCCCACATAGACAGTCTTTTCAACTCGTTTAAAAACTAAACTGAGGCCTGGACTAAGTTATCATGAGTGAAGTTGTCGTCAGCAGCGGGCTACCAACAAAGGCAAAGATAGACTGGAACGGCGGTCCAGCCTGCTAATTCACACTTTGACTCAGTCTGTAAAATTTTTTAAGACCGCAAGTCATCAGGACTAGATTCACGGCACAGATGGCCCAGAACTAATGTCTAGCCCTTATTATAGCGTAACACGTGCTACGGCCTGGAATACTAATTAGACCAGCATAAACCGAGTTGTAAAAGTGTCTTTTGGTGAATTTAAGCGAGTTTACTTTCGCAGACACGGAGATATCGCTCACACCAGAAGCATGACAAGCCTGGGCCTCCAATGAAAACTCAGTCAATCGATTTATCGATCTGACGCCGGCATACAGGGCTCTGCGTAGTCACCTTCGGAGTGACGTCACTGGGGCTTGATTGGTTCCTGCACCCTATAACTCTTGCTTGCTGCTTGTTGCCGCTTTTATCTGTTACGATGGCCTCCGGTAAGAGTTTGTAAGCTCTGACGAATAAAGGCATAATGCCGGCGAGCGACGTGTGCATTGTAAGTTCTGGTGCAGTAAACGTCGTTTGACAAACATCACACTAATTATGATTCTCCTAAACTGTATGTCCCCACTTCCATAATACCTGGAATACCTACTTCTGTTTTGCCTAGACAAGTAGTTTGATTTTGGAAATTTTCTGTTCGCAATATGGTAGGACATTAAGATCAAGTGTTCCTGCACGGCTAGCTATCTTTTCCTATAACAGAGACGTATTTTCGGTCTGCTGTAAGATCGTTTTTTTCCTTCCAAATTAAAGTTCGACAACTCCGACGCGGATAATTACGCACGAGTGATCGAGATGCTCTTCCAATTTTCTCTCCTGTGGTCTGTATGCTGTGTGGTGGACGAGGATGGACGAAAGAAAGTGGACTCCTTCGTGCGTGAATTGGACGGCAGTTTTCCCAACAAGGACTCTATCTATGAGTACTTTGTGGACACCAAGACGCGCACTTGGATCCACTGGGAGGAGAAACTCCGTGGTGGCTGGAAGTATCAACCGAGGTGGGTGCCAAGCTTAAAGGCCATTCCCTGTTTTTAAATGCCTATCCCCCAAAGTAATAATTAAAAGTAAGTGAGTAGTCGTGTATTTTTAATCTTTTCGACCAACCGACGAATGCTAGATTTTCGTCTGTAGCTATTTAAACGACCTCTTTGGAGTTTTCTGCTGTATCGATGTATTCCTTAGCCACCGTGTTACGAATAGGGAACTTAGAGACGTTTACCTATCTTGCCCTTTATAAAACCGAACTTAACTAGACAGCTTACATTGACTGCAGTGTAGCTAGTCAATATGGTCAACATGAATATATACATGTTCCTCGATGTCTTCACTGTGTATGAGCAGGGCGTTGCTAACCCCCTACCCAGTGCTTCTATTCATCTGGCTTGTGTCCACTGTTCTCTCTTGCCTGACAGCATGCCCTTCTTCAAGATCCTGGTTCCAACCGTGGACACTGTTCGCTACAAGTTCCTGGTCAACACACTCGTCGCCAAATTCTGTCCTGTGCTCATAACTGGACCCGTGGGCACTGGCAAAACCTCCGTGGCACAAGATGTGCTCTTTAGTCTTGATCGGGAGGCCTGGTCCTTTTTGACAATCAACATGTCTGCTCAGGTGCGTGACTTATTCACCTTACCCCTCCATCTCACCTTGCCGACTTATAGATGACGATGATGATGATGATGATGATGATGATGATGATGATGATGATGATGTTGAGGATGATGATGATGATGATGATGATGATGATGATGATGATGATGATGATGATGCTGAGGATGATGATGGTGAGGATGATGATGATGATGGTGGTGTTGATTATATTTATGATGACGATAATGATGATGATGATGATGATGATGATGATGATGATGATGATGATGATGGTTAATGATGATGATGATGATGATGATGATGATGATGATGATGATGATGATGATCGATGATGATGATGATGATGATGATGATGATGATGATGATGATGATGATGATGCTGAGGATGATGATGGTGAGGATGATGATGATGATGGTGGTGTTGATTATATTTATGATAATACTGAGGTTGATGATGATGATGATGATGATGATGATGATGATGATGCTGAATCTTCCAAATCTCTCTGTATGACTGACTTGCGACGTTGACTGCTTTCGACTACTTTGAGGGACCCCAGGTGCTTCGATTATGCCGAGATGAATAACTGGGGCTTTGAAGCATTCACATCCGGGGACACTTGGATTACTTCAAAAATTATACGATGACCGAACATATGGTCCCACTAAAAGAAGGGTGATGGAGTAAAGAGACGTTTTATGGGTGAAGTAAAAATACTGCCACATACCGCCCTTCAAATAGCAAAATTGAATGCACGCTATTAGTTTGTTTAAATACACTGATAGAGCGTATAACCGACAGCGCGCAATTAGAACTAATGAAACTTGGAGGCTGTAACTTGACGTAAAATGACTACCTACGGTATTGGTTAGATATTTAAGGTGGATTTAACCCCAGCCCATGATGGCAAACCGCATTGTATGAGAAAGTGTGAAGAAGATATCCTTAAATCCAACTCCAGTGACGGCCATGCCTGAATTCAACGTAGAATCGCCACCTTTAAATGTTAGCAATGATTCCCGTCATCGACAGCCTATTTGATTTGTGCAAAAATAAATGTGTGCAGCCGTTCATTATTTGAAAAATCCGCCTTCTGCACCACTTACTAACGTTCTATATTAACACTTTGTGCATGATTTGCTGTACCTTCACTTGTCTGGTACACGAACAATAAGCCAGGTAGCATGCGAAGTTCCAATGAAAAGATTCACACTACTGACGAGCCATTTCGCCCTCGCGCGGTCCATCGATCACGCCCTCATATAACTTTCGGGAGTCTTATCAGTTTAGCTGTATTGCTCTGCACTATTTAGCCTAGTTCTTATTTGATTGGCTGAGCCCGTCGAAAAATGTTCTGAATCCAGTTTTTTCAATTCCATCCCACTGTGTGCACAGACCTCCTCGAACAATGTCCAGGACATCATCGAGTCACGTGTCGAAAAGCGCACAAAGGGCACATTTGTGCCCATTGGCGGCACAAAGATGCTCACCTTCCTGGACGACTTTAACATGCCTGCAAAGGACGAATTTGGTTCTCAACCACCGCTGGAGTTGATTCGACAGTGGATCGACTACGGATTCTGGTACGACCGTGCCAAGCAGGTGCGAAAGAGCATTGTTGGCATGTACCTTCTGGCGAGTATGGGTCCGCCTGGTGGTGGTCGTATGCCCATTTCCCGTCGTCTGCAGGCTCGTTTCAACCAAATCAACATTACATTCCCAACGGTAAGTGTAGCATGAGTTAATTGTGTGCTTCCTCTGTTACTAATAACATGTACGTAGCATCTTTTATTGTGAAGATCTGTTTCAAAGATCCTACCGCAAACACTGAAGTAGAACGTTTCAGGGAACCTGGGAGACCTATATAAACCAAAAAAGATAACCTCACAACCTCAGTCCCAAGGATGCCAACCGAAAACCTATTTTAATCATCTTTTACTTGATTATTGATGCATATGTTCCTCTTCGTTCTCTTAAGCAGACGTTTTTACCTAACCGGGCTTTTTAAACTTTTTTTCAGGATGACACCCTCAAACAGATCTTCGGCAGCATGCTTACCCAGAAGTTACTCGACTTTGAAGACGAGGTGAAAAATATGGCCGACAAATTAACACTGGCATCCATTGATCTCTACAAAGCCATCGTCGCCAAATTCCTCCCAACCCCAACAAAGATTCATTATCTGTTTAATCTGCGGGACATATCTAAGGTATGGGATTTACTACATTCGTGTTCTACAATAAAGGATAATTATAGTTCCTTCGACCTTGTGCCGATATAATTGGCTTTGTATGTCCTTATTCTCCAGATTTATCAGGGTCTTCTGCGATCAGACAAGGTCTACCACGACACCAGGAATTGCATGCTGAGACTGTGGATCCACGAAACATTCCGAGTTTTTAGTGACAGGCTGATTAATGACAAAGACAGGACCATGTTTATTGAGGTCCTGGGCGACAAACTGGCAGCCTACTTTGACCAGACCTTCCACAACCTCTGCCCCAGTCGCTGTTCACCAATTTTCACAGACATCCTGTCGCAGGACGCCATCTACGAAGACATCCAAGAGCTGGATAAGTTGAGAGACCGGTTCAATAGCATCCTCGAGATCTACAACAGCACACCCGGAATGATAAGATCGGATCTTGTGCTATTTAAGGACGCCATGGAACATAGTACGTCACAGCTCACAGTTTACAGCCACTGTGTGACTTAACCGATTTCGCTTGTTGCTTCTAAATCCCCTGTTTACTGTCTTTACTAGTCTGCAAAATAATGCGCGTCATCGGCCAACCCCGAGGCAATATGCTGCTGGTCGGCGTCGGTGGCAGTGGAAGACAGAGTCTTTCGAGGCTTGCGGCCTTCATCTGTGAGTACAGGACCTTCCAGATCGAGGTGTCTAAGCACTACAAGAGGGCAGACTTCCGCGAAGGTAGGTTTCTTCTGAACTGTATTTATTCCTTTAGTTATTTCTAAACATTTTTTTCGATCTGAGCAGTTGATTTGGCAAACATATGTTTTCAGCAACTCTTCATCAGACCGAACATTTGCAGTGATAATAAAAGCTGTAAAACACGATTAAAGTTTGAACGTGTAGAAAAAACAATGGCTGTCTGAAGTGGGCGCCTATTGGCCACTGCTGACTATGTCAGCCTGCGCAAGTAGGCGAGATCTCGGCGCATTGGGTGAGCGACTGCCACTAGTGGCTGGGGGCGAAATGCGATCGCCACCTGGCGTCGGTGTCGGCCACGGGAGTGCAAGTGCTTGTGTCAGCTTCTTCTGACAACACAGCACTGGATTCGTTAGCCGTATAGCCACTGTTTCGTC